CAACCATCGCTTATCTCATTTTCAAATTCTCCAAAACTTCATTTGCTCATTCCAATACTTCCAATACTAACAATCTTTGGTCCTGGATTTCAATCTATATCAACCTTTACATTTTTATGGTTCATACTATCAATATTTTACATACGCAATATATCAAAATGGTGGTTTTTCTTAATTTATTACGTTCTCAACAGTGTAGGATTTATGTTTGCTTATTTGAACATGTTGGGATATGTCGATTTGAAAGGCTATCCTGGAATTATATTCTCTATTGGTTTGTTAGTGACTCTGATTATGTTTATAAGTTTAATTCTGGACAAGATTTCTCAGAATATGTTTAGTGTTGTGGGGTGGGCAAGAATTTTAACTTTTCCTTGTGCTTGGACCGGTAATTCATTTGCTTTATGTTAAGATTATTGTAAATTTCCATTTTCATTAAGAATTAGAATTATTCCTTTAACTATTAGGATAATATTTGATCCGGTTAGTTATTAATCCGATTTATTTTTTTTTGTATTTGGAAAAAAACCTTAGGACTATGGACAATATTTCTTTACACTTGGGTTTTGGGTGATATGACAAATTATGCGTATGTATTGTTTTATTTTTATTTCTTGATTTTAAGGTTTTGATTTTTTTAAAAAAATTTCTTTTTCATTTGTATGTTATTAGTTTTGCTCTTCTTGGAATAGATGAAATAATGCAATTCGCTTCATTCGCCGGTTTAGGCGGCATAAATTTTGTCTTGGCCTGGGGTGGTTCCATAGGTTGTGACATCCTTACTAATTGGCTTCTAACTAACGAAAAAGATTCGTTAAATGGTCAAAATACTGCTCCGTTGATAATCTATCAAGATTCTGAAGATAATAGCACGGATACTGTTTTACCCACCACAAATAATCGTCGAAGGCGTCATTTAATTAACTTTTCTATACCTCCGATTTTTACTTCCCTTTTTGTATATTTAATCGTGCTATTTTTGGTTATCACTTATGGTTCTATTAGACTTTCAACAGGATATTTGCCATTTTATCAACAAAATATCAAGGATTTCGCTCCTTCGTTGATAACAATGGGTTGTGTAATTCGCCAAGATTCAACGGTTAACTCGGATTATATTGAAACAACTCGTGAATTAGCTTCAAATGGCAGTAAAATAGTGTTGTGGTCTGAAGGCTCTGGAAATATAACTGATACTACACAATTAACTGACCTCTTCGCCTCACTCACGAATATTTCCCAAACTTATAATACGTATATAGGTGTTGCTTATATAGACTTCCGTCCTGAACAACCTCATTATAATAAATTAGCAGTCATTGCTCCATCAGGTGATATAATAATAGATTATTCAAAAGCAAATTTAGTTCCATTTTTAGAAAGTAAAGTATTTAAGCGAGGTGTGAATGTACTGCAGACTAATATAACGAAAGAATTTGGCGTTATTGGTGCAGCAATTTGTTTTGATTATGATTTTCCATCGTTAATTAACCAAGCTTCTCGTAAAGAGGTGAATTTAATGTTGGATGCAAGTAATACTTGGGTTAAGTATTTATTTGATCTGTTCTTGGTTCTATTTTTTAGTGTTTATATGTATTTTCTAACAAGTTTTTATAATTTATTAAAATTTAAAAATTATAGGGTAAAATTTTTCATAAAATCTCACCGTAAATTCTCGGAATAACGGACATCTGCGTGTTATTTCGAGTATGCCCATTGGCGTTATTTTGAAATAACAGATCGATTTTTCTAAAAATCTTTGCGATTGACATAAGCTAAAGTTTCTGCAGTGATAATGTGCGAGTTTTTTTTTTTTAATTGTATTAGCCAATCTTCACAATTGACTAACATAATAATATATAGTTATTGGATGCGAAGCAGCCCAATAACGGAAGTTATTTGAAAAATACCCCATTATCTGGTTTTAAATTTAATGTGCCGGCTTCTGTGCCCCGCAGGGTCCCAGAAATGGTACGTTCAATTTAAAACCAGATAAGTAAGTTATTGGCTGCGTAGCATACAATAACGGTATTATCCAGTGGTTTACGACGATTGTGCTTGCTAAATGACTCGAGCTTTTGTTAGTGATTACGTAAGCTGCCAAATAACTTCGTTATTTGGCAGATGACGTAATCACTGCCAAAATAACTCGAGTTATTTTGGCAGCATTATTATAGTAAACTGACGGATAAAAATTTTAATTTCCTGGACATGATAACCGTGAAGATTTTTCACGGTTATCATGTGCAAGTTATTATAAAAGTTAAAAAAAATATTAGTATAAGAATTATTATAAGTGCGCGTTATTTCAAAACCAAATATACTATTTTTAGGCACTAGCACCCATGCCCGTTATTTCGAGAATTTACGGTAATTCTCTATATATCTTTAATAATTAATCTATCTTTTCCTTAAACTTTCATAAATAGGTCCCGTAGGAATCCTTCATGCTCGTATGAACGCGATCCGTTCAATAGAAAACGGTTTCACAATGTTAAGATGTAATGCAAATGGGATATCTGGTGTTTGGGGACCATACGGCCAGCCATATCATTATGTACCAACTACAACTTCAAATACTAAATTTGTTACATTTCAAGTACCATTGTATCCAAGGGTTAAAACGGTTTATGGTATATTTGGTGAAACTTTTGGGTGGTTATGTGTTGCTATGAGTGGTGTGATTATAGTTGCTATGATAATCGAATGGAAAGGAAGTGCAGAATGGAAAGCAACTATCATAAAATGGTTTTAATTGAAAAAAGTTGAAGAAAAAATATAAAATAGTGGTTATTGAAAAAAAAAATTGTAATGTGGTTTTAATTGAAGAAAATAAAGAAAAAAAATCATTACTCAACAATTGAAGATTGTAAAAAAAAGTTATATCGTATCATTATTATTATAGTTACACCCCTAAGTACATCCTCTCGGTAGTGTTACAAATCGGCAAAATTTTTTTAATCGATTAGTTGGTTAATTATTTTTTCAGTTGGTTGCAACTAATCGATTTTTTCAACTTTCAATTTGTAACACTACCTCTCGGGTCCATAGTTAAAGTTTGCATTCAGAGATTGCATTTATAGAATAAAATATATATACATCGCACTTATCTCTTAATATGTTTTGCAGGCAAATTTGCCTGCAAAATTTATTTTTTGTGCAATTACTAAAAAAGTAAATGTGAAAGGTTTCTCTAAAAAATATTTAAATTAAAAAGTACAGCATTTAGTAATATACTAATCTGCTACGTAATTACAAAATTTACATTATAATTTTTATTATTAGAAAATTTTACAATATCCATGATTTAGTGATCAGAATCTAACGATTTTAGCATTATTCGAATCCTTTCATTAAGACGGATTGAATGGCATCAAATTAATTCAAATCACTATATCTAGAGATGGGCACGCGCGGGATTTTTTTACTGGGGTAAAATCGCCACCCAAAAAAGTTTCGAACATCACGTAGCAAATATGTAGAACACCAAAAATTGTAACTTGAACAAAAAAATACAAACGAAAAAAATTTAGACTAACAAAATGATAAACTCAATAAACGTAATATTTATCATGCGCACGATTTGTCACATCCAAAATTTTATCATATGATTTTCATAAATTACACAAATCGACGAATTTACA